AATAGCATCTCATGCTAAAGAGCTGCATTTCAGATTTTTCAGGAGAACTCCAACACTACATGGGGCTTCACCAGACAACCAATCCTATAATATTGACTCATGTTACCCTTTGTCAAGAGGCTTAGTACATAAGTCACTCCAAAAGTAATGCCTCCTATCCATTCCCATGGAAATAAGACACCCTTTTTCAACATAGTCACCACCATCAGCTACGCATTTTTTGCGTAGCTGATAATTGAAAATCTGCATGCTCATAACAATCTGCACCAGTGGAGGTGATGCACCACTGCTGTCATCATTGCTGAAACGCAGCACCCGACCCCACCACTGTGCTGACATCCACTGTTTGGCCTCCATAAACATTCAGCAAGTGCTGATTAATGTCAATGGATGTCAGTTTCTATGCATGGAGGAATTCAGTTCCACATGCTTGTTTCATCTGCACCTCTATGTCAGTTGCCAATCTGTCAGACTGCCTATTCTGCTGCCATCTGTCAGGAGCAACAAAATGGAATGGAATATTTTTGGAAATTTTGAACTTCTACTGTCATACCACCAACATCCACCTCTCATGCTGTCGGCCATCATATACTAGTCCATTTAGGCAGCTCACACTCATCATTACAGGTCTGCTTTTAGTTCCAGCTCTGGTGATATATTCATATCCTGCTTGGATAGAACCCAGAGGGGAACTCTTTCCACCCTTTGTCCAGTCCTGCTGGCAAGCCAAGCAGCAGAGCCAGCCCAGAAAAAGACACTGGAAGCTTGCTTGTGCGCTTGCTGCTGAGTCTCTGGGCAAGAAACTGGACAGGCAAGGCAGTGGGACATGGCAATAGCATACTTGTCACCCTGCTTCCAGGGGTGGGTGGACCCAAATGACACCAACGCTCAGCCCCGGCACGCTCAATTGGAGCAGAGCATGGACCTCAAGTTCCTCCCCAGCTGAGCCATGTGGTCAAACACTCCTATACCTCAACAAGTCCAAAATTTAGGCAGACAAGAAAACTGGGAGCCAAGTTCTGATAGCATTGTGCCTGCCCTTGTATGTCCACCCATGGAAAAGAATGCTACCTTTAATTTAGCTCTATGAGCAGGCAGGAGAAACAATAAGTGCTGAAAATTACTCATGTATATTCAGGTATTCAGGTGCAGCACAGATCATTTCATTAAATGAAGACATCAGGAAGGATTTACAATTTTGCTATGATAATTATAAAAATAAGTAATAAAATATAGTATTTAAATGAAATTATTTGCTATTTGTTGGTTTTGATAGTACTTGGGTACTTACCTTACTCTTAGTAAAATTATAAAAGCCCTGTACAGAAGTTAAGGAATGTATTTTTACTCAAAAATTAAACCATTTTTTAACAACTATAAACAGACAATGGTTCTATTTCCAACATTTTTCCTTCAGTATTCTATGCCCTGCATATGCTAAAATCATGGATCTTTTTTAATTAGGTAACTGTTAGAACAAGGTCCAATTCAGTTGTCAGAATGAGCATAAGAAAAACTGAAGATTAATTTTAGCATATTTTGGAATATGTTATTAAAAAGAGAAATATGCTCATACGAGGGCAAGGTCAGCCGAAGTTCCTGGCTTGAACCCATTTCACCCTTGCAAGAAGTGAACATCTCCTCCACCCAGCAGAATATAGCAGAGCAGTAACATCCACCTCAGATGAGGAATTTGTTATGCACTTTTAATGTTGTAAAATCTTCCCTCTTAACAAAATATAATCAGAACTGTGATTTTCAGTGAGAAGAGGGAAGTACACAGATACAGAACCTGTACAGCCTGTGATGTCACTACTGCAAACAGATTTCTGAGCTAATTCTAATGGAAGGTGCTCCTCTTTAAAAATAGCCAAACGGTTTTCATCAATATTCAGTGTGCCTGCCTCATGAGTAAAGTTTGTTGCATTACTGCAAGTATACTGAGAACACTCAATCCCTTAACGGCACTTGTACCCTCTCTGACCTTTTTCCATTTGTCTAGAAGGATCCCTCTTGCAAGAAAGAAAGTAGTATCTCTGCTTTACAAAGGCCTTAACAGTAAGTTAAGGAAAGGGAAAGCCAGGAAAATGCTTAAGTATTCATTTGTATATGTGACAGTCTCTTCGAAACTACCTCTGTGCACAACATATCGGGGAGGACTATTTAAAAACAGTACCAACAATACAAAGATACAAGGGTCAATGGAACACGAAGAACTTCTTTACTTTGAGGATGACAGAGCACTGGAACAGGCTGCATGGAGAGGTTGTGCAGTTTCCTTCTTTGAAAACATTCAAGACCTGTCTGGACACCTACCTGTGCAACCTGCTGTAGGGAATGCCTTAGCAGTGAGTTGGACTCAATGATCTCCACAGATACCTTCCAACCCCTACAACTCTGTGATTCTGTAAATTAGTATGAGCATGGAATCACGGGGCATAGAAGGGACTTCTGTAGACTACCTAGTCCAATCCCACACTAACACGTTTCCTAGAGTAGGTTGCAGAGGAAAGTGTCCAGGCAGGTCTTGAATATCTCCAAAGAGACTCCATGACCTCCCTGGGCAGCCTGTTCCAGTGCTCCATCACCTTCAAAGATGTTTTTTCCTCAGGGATATTTTCCGTAAGGATTTTTAAAAATGCTTGATTAAAATAAAGCCTGAAAAGACTTCACTGTAAAGAATTACTTGTTTAAGAATGTGAACTTGTAAGTCTGAAAATGAACTTGGCATGGAAGAAACAGGGCAATAAGTAGGACTGCAACCCTGGGTTTCAGAAAAGTCATTTTGACCTCTTAAATTCCATGTGAACATTGGAGGGTATGGGGAACCCAAGAGAGCTGGTTAAATATCAAGCCTTCTTCCATGCTCAAGATCAGTTTATACCTAAAAGTAAGAAATCAGGCAAAGGTGACAGGATACCCACATGGGAGGAGCAAGAAGTTCATGAAAAAACTCATCTGCAAGCAGAAAGTTTATGGAATATGCAAGAAGGGTCTGTCCACTTCAGAGGAATACAGGAACATTGTCAGGGCACACATACATGCAGCAAGAAAGGCTGAGGCCTACTTAGAACTACCTCTGGTGAGGGAGGTCAAGAACAACAAGAAATATTAATAGCAGAACGAAGACTGCTGCTGGCTAGGTAAATGACAGAAGAAATGACAGTAGTGTACACTGACTTCAGCTTGACACTGGTTTTGGACAATGTCTCCCATTACATCCTCGTAGGCAAGTTTAGGAAGTGTGGAATAGATGAGTGGACACTGAGATGGACTGAAAATTGATGGACTGTCAGAGCTTAGAATGCTGTGATATTCTACAAACACAGAGTTCAGCTGGAGTCCTACAGCTGGCATTGTTCCCCAACAGAAATAGAGTGCACCCTCAGCAAGTTTGCTAATGACACAAAGCAGGGAGAAGTGACATGCCAGAAGGCTGTGATACCATTCAGCAAGACTTGGACAGGCTGGAGGTCTGGGTGGAAAGGAATCTGATGAGGTTTAACAAAAGCAAGTGTAAAATCCTACATAGGAGTAACTTCACACATCAGTACAGATTAGGTGCTCTGCGGAGAAGGATCTAGGTATCCTGATGGGCAACAGGATGACCATGAGCCAGCAGTGCACCCTTGTGGCCAGGAAGGCCAATGGTACCCAGGAGTGCATTAAAAAGAACACAACCAGCAGATAAGTGAGGTGATTCTCACCCTCTACTCTGCCCTGGTGAGGCCACATTTGAAGTACTGTGTCCAGTTCTGGGCTCCTCAGTTCATGAAAGACTAGGAAAGTCTAGAAAGAGTCCAGTAGAGGGCCACAAAGACGATGAGAGGCCTGGAGTTTCTCTGTTGTGAGGAAAGGCTAGTAACCTGGGACTGTTCAGTCTGGAGGAGAGAAGTCTGAGAGGGGATCTTATCAACAATTATAAGTGTAGGTGTCAACTGGATGTGGCCATGCTCTTTTCAGTGGTGTCCAGCAACAGAATAAGAGGCAACAGACACAAATCAGAAACAGGATGTTCCATATGAACACGAGGGCATCAGATAGTATACTCCAAATTAATCTCTTTCTCACTTTCCCTCCCACAAATGCTCTCAAAAGGCACAACAGCAGTTACAAATTATCCAGCTGAGAATGTGATATTATTGTAAATTTATCCTATAGGATATGCCTGACATTCAACAAGAAATGTTTCACTTACATAATATCCAGAATTCTAAAGTAACAGAGGGCATATCAGACCAGTCCTGAAATGTCTTGTACTTAATGCAATATTACTGTATTTTCATATAAGCTTATAATTGCATACATATTTTTGGAGAAGAAACTTTACAGGAACTCTTAAATATCCCAGTGATATTTTTATTATTCATTTGAATATTTTTGTACATCACTCAGAGCTTAAGTGCATGACTATAAAAATCAGTCACTACCTTTATTTACCTTTTTAATTCACAGAAGAGTTTAAGAGCTGAGCAACTTACACCAAAGTGATAGTTCTTAGATTTTCCAAGGTCATAACAATAGTAAATATCTCATATATTTAATTCTTGATGTTCAGAACCATGAATTTCATCAGGCACAGAGGCCCTTTTAAAGTATCTTTTAAAATATTCTTCTAGAGTCCTTTTCTTTATTACATTTCTTGATACATTTACATTTTCAGTTCTGAGCTGCCCAATGATCTCAACCTATTCTGTACTTCCCACAACACACACAAGCAACTGCAGGCATCCATTTGGGTCCCCTTTTCTCTGAGAATAAAGTCAGACCATCAGGTGAAGTCTGGCAGATTGTTTAAGTATATTCTCAACATTTATATGTAAACAGAAGTCAGAAAACCTTCAGTAAAGGCAGTATTTCCTTCAGAATAATAAAGAACAGATTTTGTGAGAAATGTAAAGAGCCAAAGTACTCAATACAATACTCTACTGTAATTCCTTCAAAGACTGAAATACAGCATTAATCTTTGCTACAACAGCATTTATATATAGTGAACTGGCTCAGTGAATAGGAAGTGATTTATTGCAAAGAGTAGATTTTAGACAAACACATATTTAGAAGTCCAGTTTGCTATGATTTTATTTAAATGAGTTTTACGTTTTCATGCAATATTTGCACTTAAATAATCATGACAAACAACAAAAGTGGTTATAGAATGCACTACTTATAGTCCTCAGTGAATATACAAAAAACTCAGCATTATAGGTTATACTTTTCCAAAATACTGCAGCAGCCGAAACAGTATATGCCAAGGGCATAGGAATGTACTCAGAAATCACACAGGAACTACCCATTTCTTTAATTTCACAAACAAGACAAAAGCAATGTTCAATCCCACACACTGATTTTTCAAATAACGTTTAGACAGTACCTTTAGTTTTACTCAAATACTAAAAGTTAGACATATCATTTATTTAGTAAACAAGTATGTGGTAAACCTCTATTACATTTTCCCTTGGTTTTACCTGGAGTAGCCATGTTATTTAAAAGTGGGCAGGTTTGGCACTTTTATACTGATGTCACCAATATTAATATTTCTTGGGATCTCTGGCAGATTCATATTCTTTACAGCTGAAACAGCCCGGGCTGGAGCTCCTGCTAAACCAGCCTGTGTACAAAGTGAGGAAAAACATAAGTCAGGAAAAGCTCGATACAAGAACATTCAATAGCAGTACGCACAGACAACTAATGTTCTCAATTATTTCCATGGTTTTACACAATTAGAAAGACCACATGGTAATTGTGTTTGGAATGAAATGGGTTATTTGGAAATATTAATCCAGAAAGAGAAAACAGTTCACACGTTTCTTCTTATATGGTAAAACATATACTGTCAACTTGATGGAAATGTATGCAGGGAGAAATAGGAGGCTTATCCACCTGTGTGTAATGCATAGGTTATTGAAGATACAATCTTGAGATACTTAAAGTCCAGTGTGCTATCTTTGTTTCTCATCTATACTAAGAGTTCACACTCATCACAGTTGACTAATGCTGGTTACAGGTTCAGTACATGTAACCTCAAAGTAACAAGTTACCCAATGTCAGTTAAACCAAATTACTTATCTACAAGCATATGAATATGAGGTAATTCAAGGTGGCTTGGCCTGAAATGAAAAGGATAAAATCTTTGCATTTAGGTGATATTTTATTTTTATTATTACTAATAAATTTACTTTATTTATTAGTAGTAATTATTATTTTTTATACTTTTTATTTTAGTCTTTACAAGTAGGCTTAAAAGTATTCACAAAAGACAACAACCGTAAAAATGATCTTCAGAACCACTACAGTTGTACACTGTGGCATCTTGCAGGCCTTGTAAAAAAGGAGCAGTCTACAAGAATCAAAGCTACATGCCAGAACTGGTTAAGACAGACTAAATAGAAACTGATGGTCTTTCTTTAAGTTTGATTTTACTTAAGAGTGTCAAGGACTGAGGAAATCAGTGCACTTGGACACAAAATAATTCTGAGGAAGAAATATGCCACTTCAAAGGAGAAAAACTTCTGGAGAAGTTTTCTATCTCTACCTTTAATTATTAAATAATATTTGTAGGTAACTACTGCTCAGTGTATAACCTTTCCAGATTCAAGTTCTTCATTGAAATTCATTGTAATTACAAGGGTGTAATGAAACTGCAGAATAAGTTCTGATTCCTTGGTGCCCACCTCCACAGCTACACAAAAGGTGATAGACACCTCATACACTCCTGAGATAACAACTCTGAAGACTGTACATAAATACTTCTTCCCTTTTATTACTCTCTTAATAAAGAAGTGAATGTAAGGTCAAATCAACATTAGGTTTCCAGTTTAAGTCCTACCTACAGTTCTGCTGCAGATATGTACATTATCTCCTTCTTCCTTCAAAAATAAAACCCAGGGTCGAACTAAAATCAATTTTAAAGTTTCTGACTTGAACTAAGCCATTTATATCATGTGGAAAAGCTAGAGTCTTATAAATCCCTAGGTGTCAGTCACAGGGGGATTCTCAGTACCAGGAACAGAGACCAAAAAGCCACAAGCCATCTGCTGCATACAAACTCTGTCAAACCCATATCAAATGTGCCTATGTTGGGAAAAAAGATGAGGAGGTTAAGGAGAAAGTTCAGGAAACCTTAAATCTCTTAGCATAACCAAATAGTTTGCTCTCACTTGGTCCCTCACATAATCCAAATGATCAGTTCTCAGCTGTACAGCTAACTAAATCTGTAAAAGTGCAAAGAAATATTTTTAAAGCCTCTTTTCCCTCAATTTCCATTTATATCACCAAGTGTTCAGGTCATGCACTTCAAAGCTTTCAGTTCCAACTCCTTCTTGAAGGGGCAGCTATGGACCTCACAGCAGTAGTATTAGGAAAAGCAAGTCCCCCAAATCTGTTACCTTTTATATGAAATGTCTTAAAAATATAGCATTAGAAAACACCTTTAAGGAGAAACAAAAATGGGGCAATGTAAACTGTTTTCCATAGAGGAGATGAAAATAATAATAAAGTAGTAACAAAAGCAATGAATTATACAATTTGTAACTGAAACAATGAGAACCAGAAAAATATCATTAAGTTATGGGCATGGTCCACACAAACAGGCATGGCTGGCAATTCGAGAAAGAGATGTCTTCTAAGTGACTAGGATGGAAAGTCTTTACTCTTACTTAATGAAAGTTAACTATTCTTAATGAACAAATAAAAGTTTTGGTATAACTGGTCATTATTTTTACCTACCTGCAGCTATCCTCTTTACACAGACTTACAGTCCCTGCCTCCCGCCCCAACGGCATAGGATACAATGGAGACACAATTGAGAATTATTCAGAATACCAGAATTGATATGACCATTGCCTTTCGTCCCCCTCAGACAGCCACAACTTTCAACAGTCACATTTTTTTAGGATCATTGTGGATGGGGATCAACAAAGATCCCTAACAAAAGTATTACAAATTTCAGATTACATCTTTTTTTGGAAAGCAAGGTTGACTTTCACTGCCATATGCTACAGTAGAGATTTTCAAACCACGGCAGTCTTTTCTCCTGTTATTGTCTATATTAAGTTGTTCAGTGTGTATAAATATGCACAGCAGAATGCTGTTTATCAAAATTCATGTCAACTCTATAAAGGATAACATACAGTATTTCTGAGAGCAAAAATTTGTAAAAAATATCTAACAAAATTACTGATAAGTACTCAAACTTCAAAACTGGATAACTAATACATTATCTCAAATGTGATTACATCTGCATTTATGTAGTCCTTTCACTTATTTATCCTTTACTGAAAGTGAAATATTTTACACGAAGACTCTACAAGAGAGATTTTCAGACCAGTGTGTTTTTAAGCAGCTTTACAGAGGTACCTAATTAAAAGAGCCACCTTTGTAACATTGCATTGAACATGTTTCAACTGCCTTTATTACAAAATAATTCAGCAGGTATCTTGGTGAGATGCAAAGAAAAACTTTCACTTTAAACAAAAAATCAAAACACGCAAGCTTTTATCATGCAGTGAATGATGATGGATTGTCTGTCACAGCAAGCAAATGACTTGAGCAAGTGAAAATGAAACTTCTGAAGATACATTAATGAAATTTCAGAAATACAGTACAAATTGCATAAAGCTGGTATTACAAATAACCAATACACCAGATTTCTGCCATAGCTGCTCTGTATTCTCAAATTCCTTTCTTATCAAAGGTTGTACTTGAATCTTGAAATACTGTATATTATTATTTTAGTTACTGCAAAAAAAAAAAAAATGCTTGTGAACATGGTTATATCTTTTAGAGCAAAAGAACAATGCCATAAGTGCAAAATAATGCTATTTTAAAGACTGAAATAGAAACATTTAGTAACAAATCTTGTTCTAACAGTTTTAGTATATCAAGTGAGAAATATTAACTGTTGCTAGTTTGCCTAGGTCATTATTTATTATTATGGGTATTAATTTTCTTTATCGTTATCATCACCTTTTCTTATAATGCCCCACTAGTAGCACTATATGAAAGTAAACCCAGAATCACTGTTTTGCTTAAAAAAAAAAAAATCAAATTCATATCATCTGGAAAAAGCACTGTATATCACAGATTTATTTCTTATGTACATTGAAAAAAAAAACAAAAACAAAAAACGATTCAGACTTCACCCCAAACAGAGCTAGCTATCACTAGAATAAACATTTAGAAATATACAACCTACTGGAAAACAAAATAATGCAGGCTAAAGCTTTGCAAAATAAGCCATCCTTTTCTGAGGTATGCTGGAGGTACAAGGACCTCTCTGCTGCTGGTGTTTCATACTAGTGCTTCTTTCTGGAACAAGTATGACTTCAAAGCAGCAAGGTTATGAAAGAATGAAAGGATGCAATGCATAATATAAAGGAATGATTATGTCCTCTGCTTGTGAGGTTAAATAAATGAACATAATTAGAGAAAAAACAAAATGAAGTCTGAAGGTATATCAAAATGAGGCCAAACAGATAAGAAGACTTAAGGACGTACTCTTAGAAATTTTAAGCACTTGAATCACAAAGAATAATGGATGGGAATGATTTATTTTTTTTAATTATTTTTCATTGCCAGACCCAAAAATAAAAACAGAACATGTGTGAGCAGAACACAGAACACACAAATAAATAAATAAAATAAAACCTGAATTCACGCTTCCTACTGCTACAATGAAACATGGATTATATGTTTCAAGTGTTGACATATTAGGCAGAAGAAGGTAATTTCTTTTATTTTCATGTGCTGTAACATACTCCAAATTTAGGTAAAAAGTTTCATACTACCCAAAAATAGTTTTGGCTAATGCTTTATAACTTACTGCTACTAAAAGCAATTACAGAAGTATATTTACTAAGTTTTAATGGCTTTTCCTGGAAAGACCACATAAAAAGCCAAGAGCAAAGTTATTTATAAATTAAATAAACCCTGTTTGCATAAGATCCAGATATTTAAACTAGCTGAAGTTCAAATACATAGATACTTAAAATGAATGGAAATGAATTTTGAAATAGTGCCACTAATGTTGACTGACATTCAAACCATTGAGTTGAACAAAATGTTTTCAACAAGCAAATGACCAAAACTGAACTTCAAACGTTTTTCTCCTCCTTTCCCTGTTATATTCAGTGACCAGGGGGACCAAGATACCTTAAAGCAAAATCTGGCCATTCAGATGATAAGGGCAGCAAATGAACATCTGAAGTTTTGCACATGGAACCACCTTTTTCATTTTACATTTGACACACTTAAGGATTCACAGAAGAATTTTGGTAATTCTTCATCATCTTTACAAATCAGACTGATAATTTCATTTCACATGTATAAAACTGGATTTGCTAGTTTTCTTTTTAAGTTTTTTTTACCTGAAATTTACTCTAAAACTTAATTTCTCTTTGCAAGCCAGTTGTTTGCTTTTACTTGGAGGAGAATTCTTCTTCCCTAGTTTAGATTTTTCCTATCAGGAAGGTATTTTGATTGTACCACAGAATCACAGAATTGCCAGGGTTGGAAGGGATCTCAAGGATCATGAATCTCCAACCCCCCTGCCACAGGCAGGGCCACCAATCATCCCACCTAATGCTAGACCTAATGCTAGTACCGTCACACTGTATTTTGCTATCCTTGTATTCAATTTCTATTCAGATTAGTTTTGCAGCTTTTTAAAAAATTCATGCAAGTTCATGTTTCCTTGTTTCTTAAACAATGATATAAAGAAAAGTTAAATTCTAAAATGCAGCAAGAGAAATAAAATAAAACATATGATGTCAATGGAAAGCTAGTAAAATACACTAGAGCCAATAAAAAGATGAGGGAACTACAAGAAGAAACTAGCACAAAAAGTAGGCTACATAGACTAGTATGGGTATTTTTACACATGATTTTTGAGTCTGGCCTACATAATTTATTGCCTTTGACATCATTTTGCTTTCCCTTTTTGTTAAAAGTACATTTTTTCTCAAAGTCAGCAATACCTTTGTCTACCTGTCCTGTCTGGGAGACTGAAAGATAAAGGTCTGTAAGAGAGAAGAATGAAAGAGCTAGAAAAGATCAGGATGTTCGGAAAAAAATGAGGTCCAACTTAAAAGTCTAAATCACACATAGTTGAACACTCCAAATAGAGAAAAGGTAGCACAGATTTACCTACAGTAATTTCAGAGTCACTGGATAAAATCCCAAAGATCCCTCTCCCAAAAATTCCCCCACTTAATCACAATGATCACTTGGCTTTAGAAGACTTGACCAGAAATCCATTCACAGACAAACACTACCACTTTAAAGTAAGGAAATGTAGTAAAGACAACATTTCTCAGAATAAAAAAGCAATTTCCTTCATAGCTCATCCCTGCTATGTTAGGAGCTGAATCAGAAATCAAAGCTATGGACGCCATCACAGTAATTTAAACAAATAATCTCTGCTGAAAGGATCAAGAAATCCTTTGAGCTGATAATATTTACAAATATTTGTAAATTAAATAAACATGATTTAATTCTTCTGCTAAACTCCAATTGACAGTCCGTTTTGAAACCCAATATAAAACTAAACAAATATCAAATGGCTGGATTTTGTATATTATGGAAGTTGGGTAGGTACGCTATGAAATTTAGAATATTTCTGTAAATGGAGCTCACTTACAATTGTATTGCATTCATCTCTTTGGGCTACAAACATAAAGGCAATTCAACCTTAACACAGCTATTTTATAGATGCAAGAACCACAACTGAGGTCAAAGAAGCTGAATAGACTAATGTGAGAGTGCTGTGGCATAGGTGGCAGTCCTATGAACTATGGCCGAAATAAACAAAAAAAATCTGACTTTTTAAAAATATTTTATTCTTTTTGAAGAAATAAAACTAAAGGGATCCACTAGTTTTGATTTCTTTGTGACAAGAGTTAAAAATATTATTAATGAGTTATTACCACTTTTTATTTACACAAGCTGAATTTGATACTATGTTGGAAGGACATGTTCAGGAAAGACATGCTGAAAGATATTCAATCTTGGTCAAAAAGGCAAAAGGAAAAGAAATAGCAACCACGTAATTTCTGATGAGATTCATGCAACAAAAGATTAATGATCTGTGGAACTATTTATCAGGTTATGTGAAGTATCACCGTATTACAGTAACTGTTACATTTGAGAAGAAACAGTCACTGAGTTAAAAAAAAAATGAATTTCTGATGAGCAGGACTGATAAATGTCCCACTCTATTCTAGTCACCAAGTGTTTCTGTTTATCACTGCTGCTTCTTTGCCTTCTATAATTCACTGCTGAACATAGAAGAGTAAGTTGCTATTTGCCCTCCACATGCTATGACTTCTAGGTTTTGTGTTTTGTTTTGTGCATTTTTTTTATCTTCTATGGCCTAATTTTCTTCTGTAAGTACCTTAAAAGAAAGAATGACTTACTGGTGGGTAATGGAAAAGATAAAATATTGTGGATGCGTTTCAGGGCTTAGTGAGACTCTCCAGTCAGTTTGGTAACAGAATAAATATAATTAAGAAAAAAACACTTTAATTAAACACTTTTAGTTGAAACTTGTATGTGCAGTAACACATAGTAGAACACAGCTGCTTAGTAAGTTCAGCTTTTGGGATACCATGTTAGTCTTCCATCAAAAAAATAAAAATAAATGTATTCAGAAATTATTCAAACATAGCAATAATTAACAAGATTTCCATGTAATCAACACCTCATTCTAAATTTGCAGATTTTCAAATAAATGTATTGGACATCTCCAAAACCTTAATGCAATCTTTCTCAACATACGTTGCCAGGCACAATGTCGTATCGTACACAGCTTCTTCCAGCTTTTTACAAAGCGTTGCTCTGTTCTTGGAAATAGTTTGGAAGTAAAACAGACAACTAAGTGTATCAGAAGACTCAACATGATGCAATGTGAGATTCTAGAATTAGAAGAATAGTATACATTGTACCACAAAAAAAAAAAAAAAAGCTGACAAATTAACTTCTCTTCTGGTTCGTAAGATGTACTCAATCCAAAACTAGAAATTTCTCTGTGTCTTCCTCTCAAATGTCATTTAGTTCATATTTATGCCACCTGTGAGTCTTCAATCCATTCAGCTGACCTCAGATTTAGAAAGTGTCTCCAATTTAAGCAGAAGTTTGCTTTCAAATTTGAAAAATAAGCTCTGACAATCAGATTATATGTTCTTTTGTAGAGCTACTCTGATCAATAAGAATCATTCACAGACATAGCTAAGATACACTGCTGATATTTTAGCTAATATGACAAGCCTGATAATGTTTAAAGAAAGTAGCATTTAGTCACATAGCTAAAATAATTCTAAAATCCCTTCTCATTCTAGATTTCTCTCCTAAATACAAATTCAACAGTATTAAATGCAAGCATTTTAATATCCAGATTCACAAGCTGCAAAGCTTAACATGGAATTACAAGTACATCTTGTCACTCTTCTCCAGAAGTGTGCATCTTTCCTACTTGTCAAGAGGAAAGAGATTCCCTCAAGTTACACACGTGTCCCTCACTCAGACTAGTAGGTGCATGTAGCGAATTTCATCTTCTCACTGGAGTCCACTCAACTAACAACCAAATGTTCATATTACTAACATGACAGAATTCGTATTTAATTTAAAGTGCCTACAACTGGGTTATAATTTCTATCAAGTCCATTTCACTCCAATTTATTATTTTATGTTGCAGTATTTTTGTGCATTAAATATACTGCCATTTATTTCAGCAGATAGAAGCATACTAGTAGACAGGAATATGTTATCTACACACTTCAGTTCTTCATATAAATTCATTTGTTGTAATGATTAGTGATTTCCAACACAATAAATACTCTGGAAATAAAATGCTTTCTTCAAGAGAAACTCACAGAACTACAGGTGTATCTCAATAGCAATGACATGTTCTGCTATTAGATACACATAGCAAAATCCAAACAGCAACTCGTCTAAGCAATTATTGCGTATGATATACTAGTTTAATGACAGATTGTGAATTTTCACTATTTATAAGCAAGCAGCTTGAAGGATAAGCAGTATTATATAGCATGCATTTACTACAATCATGTTTTTAGTTTAGCACTACACAGCACTGCTTCATTCTTACCTCAGATTTTTCCAGTTTATTCTGAGCATCAATCTGAGTGACAATTTCATTCATGTTGGTCTCCAGAACCATCCCACCCATAACCATTTCAGCCAATATATTATGGACCTAAAAAGAAGACCATAAGAAAATTTTAAAATGTCCTATACACAGCTTAGATGATGTCTAAATTCATCAATCCAAGAGCATGTATATTCTATCAGTCAATTAATGTTAGCACATTCTTTGAAACAATTTGGGCAGAAAGCTTATAACATGCTGTTCACTACCTCAATATGCTCTTTGCTCATAGTTCTTTCATCACAAATCTCAACAGCTATATCACTTCACTTATTAATGCTAGCCAAATGAACTTTGGCATTCATCTTTCTTTTAGTATGTTTTCTACCTAAGGATATTAAAACAAGAGTTCTACTTCTTGTCAGTAGTAAAGCTAAGAAGCAAGCTCTAGAATATTAACAAATTTTTCAGAAACAGTTATGTAAAAATTATTTTGAGTTATATCTGTGAAGGATGAGAGACCCAATGCCATTCACTCACGATTACCAAGGTTAGGCTTGGAAGCAGAGGTAATACATCTGAACATATAAAACATAGAATCATAGAATCACCAACGCTGGAAAAGACCTCCAAGAGCATCCAGTCCAACTGTCCACCTACCACCAGTATTTCCAACTTAGCCATATCCCTCAGTACAACATCTAAATGTTTCTTAAACACCTTCAAGGTCTGTGACTCCATTACCTCCCTGGACAGCCCATTCCAATGCCTGACTGCCCTTTCAAAGATTTTTCCTAACATCCAACCCGAACCTCCTTAGCACAACTTCAGGTCATTCCCTCTCATCCTATCCGTAGTTACAGCTGAACCCCAACCTTACCACAACCTCCCGTCAAGAAGTTTGAGAGAGTGATAAGGTCTCCCTTGAGCCTCCTCTTCTCCAGACTAAACAATCCCTGTTCCATTGACTACAAACATGAAGACTTCAGCATCTAGAACTGGGATGGACAGTCAGGACTGAAACTGAAAGACTGAGTGAGGCAAACAATGATGTTAATGAAATTGGTGAGTCTTCCCTGTAACTCTGATTTTAGAATGTGAGCTTTGATTCACAAACCTCTGATTCAGAGTCTGTATTTGCATTTTACCTATGACTTTTTTTTTTTTTAATGCAAGCTTCTACATAGTTTTTACCAAAACTCTTCAGCAAATACATAATGTAAAATTTTGCAAGCCCACTATAATTCTGAAGACATATAGGGTACACATAATTACCTTTATGAAATAAAAACATTGTACATGTGATGCAAAATAATTCTTCTGGCTTGTGATGGGGTTAATTGTAAAGCTTTCTAGCATCATAATATAAACATGGTAATCTAAAATTAATACACTCCACTGACAATCCAAATGCATTGAAAGGTGTTACCAACATTTACTTCCTTTTACTAAAAACTTACTTTCACTCATTACATAAGGAAAAGGCTTGCAGCCCTTAACAAACAAGAGTTAGCAGCCACAATGCATGCACACAGCCTTGTGAGTTTGCGTTTGCCTAGCAACCTGCAAAGAATGATTTCATAAATTACTGATGTAAGTTACAATGTATTCAAAATAATCAACTTTGAAAAAAACTGGTCTTTCAATTCTCAGTTTTTCTGACACAGAATGCCAAAAAGTTAACAACAACCATTAACACAGACCCCATTCCAACAGCACCATATCTGTGCTCTTGGTGGGGGACAGAGTACTCACTTGAAAGTCTAACTAAAGATGTTGTAGAACCAGAGTTTTAAGGCAATTAACATAATAGATGTGATGGTTTCTTGGGGAAGTGATAGTGCAAGTGTTTCAGAAGTAAACAGATTTTCAGCTTCAGTCACAATCAGACTCCGTTCCAAATCAGCAACGTTTCTAAGTTTCAACAAAGGCTGATCAAGCCTTCTTGACTGCTTCACTGAGTTATGTGTGATTTCCCTCAGAATATAAAAAGGCTAGCTATTAGAGGATGAAGCACCATCAAAAACAAATGGTCAGAGCCATAAAGATCTTCATAATATGGAATATCATATATTTCATTTTATCAGTCATTTACTAACCAAGTATTTTTCAAGTATTATGTTCCACATATTATAGCATTCAGGTTTTTCTTTATTTTCTCATTTCTGAATGGGCATTATACAGACTTAATAGTAGGAGTGATAAATAGTTTGTGTTTCCCTCAGGTTAGTCTTATCTAAGCACAGCATTAACCACATGTAAAGGTGGTTCTTCTCTCTCACTCAATAAAAATACATACAGTAACAGTGCAAACATCATCACCTGCTATCATAGATAACAGACCTGAATCGTATTTTCTTTTTTGAAATGCACCTGGATTCAAAAGACCAACCACAGTCCCAAAATCCAAACCACAGAGGAGTACTTTGCATTTTGCTCTTTTTGGCAGACCTGGTGATGTCAAGGAAGAAACTTCGACAGTAACAGTAGCCCAAACTAATAGCTGCAAAATTCAGAAGTGAATTACTTTGAAGTCAAGGAGGGCAGAAGCAGAACATTTTCATAGTTGAAGAATAAATTTTAATGTCTAGAAGATAACTGAAACTGCATTAGTAAGTATGTGAGAGAATAAATTCCACCTTATGTCCTAAAGATGAAATGGAATTTAACTTAATTTTCTCTTAACATTCTTTTTTTGTAAGTTTTAGAACTTGCCTCTTCTTCTAAAGAATGAAGATAATTCATATGTATTTCTAACAGAAAAGGAAAGGAGTGACAGTAAGTTCCTGCTTACTTCCCTCTAGCCAGCAGAGAATTTCACAGAACAAGCCATGGAAGCCTAGCAGAAGAGAACAGGAAGACATAAAAGAGCAGCTCTTGGTCTTTCCAGACTGCTCATTTCCATCTTAAAATGGTATTTAAAAACAAGTGATACTTTCACTCTCTCCCCAAAATAGTCTATCAGTCAATTTCTTTCTAACATACTGATGCAACATATTGGAACTCTGATACAACAGACTGAACTCTGTCTCCAATCTACTCCAAAATGACTGAATAGAATAAGCAGTGTTATCTAGTTTACCATAAGTAGATTAAAATGAGCACTTAAGAATAAGTGTAATTCCATCATGTCAGTTTTGGTGGCTACTTACAAAATACAAGAGTAAGCAATTACAGCCCTGTTGACACCACTAATAAAAAAGATCATTTGTTCCCTTTAAAGCAGTGACACAGTAAATAAACAAATGTATTAGACTATATTTAATACACTTAGTACAGTTCAGGGACTAACTAGTGCAAGAGAGGCATCAATAAACTGGAGCCAATTCAGCACATAGCCACCAAGATAGTTAGGCTAGAATAGTCAAAGTGTGCAAAGATGCTGGGGGACCAGAGCTGGGAGCACCCACCAGCACACCAGTGCCCTCGCAGGGCTTGTGAGTAGCTGGAGCTAAGCCCTTCTCAGTGGGACACAAGAGGAGGGCAAGGGGCTAACACAGGGAAACCTTTCCCCAGGAGTGGAGGAGTGTGGGGACACAGGCTACCCAGGGCTGTACAGGCTCCCTCTTGTCTGAGTGGTCTGGTCTTAGCCAGGGCTGACCCTGCTGGCAGCAGGTCCAGACAGCAGCCTGGTTCTGACATCCATATTGGAATTATCCTATGATTTTATGGCACAGGCATGCTACTACATGATGTGGAAACAGTTTCATTAGTACAAACAAATGCTGGAGAGCCAGGAACAAATTCAAATTTCTGGAAAAAGTTAGATGCAGGGAATTACAGACAATTTAAATGGAAGGCAGATGTTAGCAATATTAATTGTACCACAAGTAACCTTCAGTATTAGTTAAGAGGCACTGAATTCTACAGTATGAAAAGCACTTCAAAAACACTTTGGAAACTCAGATTTTATTTTAACAGCCTGCTAGAAGATGCAGAGGTAATGCTCAAGAGATGTCAGTAAGAGGCTCAGGTAACATCAGCTTAAGGTAGTAGCTGTTTAAGGTGCCTCAGTAAGTATACATTTCAGCTCTGTGTGTATCATACTAGAGCACTGAAATTTTTTCATCATTTCGTCATACTTACACATTCATCATCAAGAGTTTGTATAACATATTACATATAATATTACAGCATAATGTTCCAGAAAACTGTTTAAAAATCAGCTATACTTTTTTTAACATAGGATAACACAAGATATAATGGTAACCAATTAAAAAAGATAAATTATTTGAATCTCTGAATAACGTAGTTTCACATCAGCATCAGTCATAATGGACAGATCAGGCACATACCAACACTATTTCTCAACACAGTAAATACTTTCCATAAAACTGGCAGTCATACAAGCATCCAAACAAATTTCCAGAAATTTTAGAAAACAATTCCACTAATATTTACATTTTTCTATCACCACTTACTTAGTCTGAAAGAGATACAAGACATCACTGAGTACACTTGCTTAGCACAGGAACAGCAATATACTTGTATGACTGGCATTAATATCCAGCCTTTGGTAGATATTGCCATTAGAAGAATAATGAAGACAATAGGTTCTCTCTCTCTCACATACACAAAAAAGCTCATAATCAAGTTGGTAATGTTTGTCTGAATAAACTATTATCATCACAGGCAGACAAAAAAGCGGGGATATAATTTTTTTTCCACAGCAGACCAGTACACAGATAAAGACTTGTATTTCTGTCATGCACCTAAAAATCAAGGTAATATCTTCCTCCTTCTTCACAGCCATAAAGAAACAACTTATTTAATTTAGCTTTTGTTTTCTTATCATTACGTGCTCAGAAAGTACTTTACCAGAGTAAAGTACCATGAATTACTGCTGAACAGATGATTCAGTATCACATATCCAGTGCTTAGCATTACAAAATATGTTCACTGTAATATTTACTATTCCAAGATGTCAGTTTAAAAAAAAAAATAAAAAAATTGAAAGCAAAAAATTTTACTTTTGCTCAAGGATGCTTAAAAAACAATATTAATCCGAAACAGAATCTATACAGCTCATTACCCAGCTCTAAAAATCCATCAGTTGATACTTTTAAAAAAATCTTAAAACTATTTATCCTGATATATTCTGCTTCTAAATTTCTGAAACACCGATTGCTGTTTGTTGCAGTGCTGTTGTACTGCATAGCTCTTGTCATATTTTTCTTTGAGTAATAACTCCAATAACTCCAACTTTGAACCTATTCACAGTACTATAGTAACTGTAATACTAAGGTAACCCTGACAAAAATGTGACACTGGAGTTCCATAGTTTAATTATAAACCATAAAAAATACAGTTTTCTTAATTTTAAACTTATTCCATGCAAATTCTATTTGCTAATGTGAGAGAAAGGCGTTTGTCTCCTTCATGTTCATCACATTCAGAATCACAGAATCACAGAATGTTTGGGTTGGTTTGAGTTGGAAGGGACTTTTAAGATCAATTAGCTCCAACCGTCCTGTTATAGACAGGTCTCCCACTAGACCAGGCTCCTCCAAGCCCCATCCAACCTGGCCTGTGTGAGCACTCATGGAACCTATGTGCCACTGATTCTGCAATATTCTAACACTGCCAACATTGTTTCCTACGCATTGAAGCCAATTGAGCTGAAGCTCAATACACAGTTCTCTGGTCATAATCAGCTAATTTACATGGATGAGCTGATCAAGATGCTCTTCATTTCATGTGCATGGCTGTCTGCAGTGTGGCTTGTCTTTCATCCCACAGTTGTCACTGTTAAAACACACCGCACAGTACCTCACCATGCTCACATCCACTGTTTGGTCTTCATAAACATTCAGCAAACACCAGTCAGTGTCAGTTGGGTGCCATTTTTTCCACATGAAGTAATTCAGTTCCACACCTTCACTTCATACATGGTGACACTTCCATGTCAGTCACTACTCTGTCAGACTGCCCCTCTACTGTCATCTGTCGCACAGCAACAACATCTAATGGAATACTGATGTGAAGGCTCACCTTCTGCTGCCATACCACCAACATCCATCTCTGATGTCATAGGCCAACAGAATAAAACAGGAGACATCACTTTCAGAGCAGCCCTTGTATTTTGCAGCTAAAGCTAAAGATCAAACTCCTTGCCATGACTGTATTGTATGATTTAGGTCCTTTAAGCTCGGAAGCTAATATACAAATCATTCATTTTAAAAATTCTTTTGAACTTAAATCTATCATTTTGGAAGCAATCAAAGCATTCCAGCCAGGCTGAAAATCCTAATAACTTGTCACAGGCAGGTTACCAGCTCAAACACCTACTAAAGGTGATTTGCATTTCAGTCTCTGGTCAAGGTATAACTACTTCTTCAACAAATAATTTCATGATTTGGAAATAAATTTAGTCAGTTTCAAAGAGTAATTTCAGATACTTGTTACTATTTTTAGACCACTTTTAGTGATATTTGTCTTATTTTCCTTTCATGTCTTCCCACTGAAGCAAAAAGGTATTCAGAGTCAGGGAAAGTAACGGTAGGCACAAAAGGCAACTGAAGGAATAAATATTTATTCAATTCTCAAATTTTAAGTATTACTTATATCAAGAAATGACAAAGTCCTTTTAAATAAAAACTACTGTAAGTTTTCTCAAAACTAGCTTAACAAATAAGGTACATTCCCAATAGCTGGGAATATTCAAAAAATGTTTTTTTTAAATGCTTAACAAAGGACATAATGTCTGTTTGAGATTTAGCAGAAAAAGATCCACAGATTTTAAGATAAATAAACGCAGCATTTGAAAAGCAACTGCCAGACATAACAGAAAAACTCCTATGACACTTTCCGTTCTGAGTAACATAACATCTAAGCAAAAACAAACCAGAACAAATCATCTAAGTCCAACTTCGAGAAGTAAAAACAATATTCACAGCTCCAACATTATATGTGTAATAATGCCACACAAAGCTTCTAAATACATTTTAACTTAGAAAAGTAGGCTCCATCAGCTCTCAATTTTAAAAATAACCTCTTTGTAGAATATGTCTAGACTTCACTATAAAAGCAGAATCACTGCATATTTTAATACTGAGTATCAATTGAATCAAACATGTTACTTGGCAAGAAATATCACAGGAACTCATCGCTGTACCTTGTCTACATGGAAAATTAAATCCAGCTCACAGACATTTTCGAAACATTTGTCTAGTGTTTCCACAAATACCTGAAGAGGAAAAAAAAAAAAAAAGGTCAGAGGTCAAGCTCTAACAGAAACTCAATAGTTCCATTATGTTTGAGGTTCTACAAAAGCAAATATGCAAAATAAACACTGCATAGACTTTAAGGCATTAAAAACATCCACAGAAATTAGGAGGTTATCACTGTTAACAGAATGTTACTTGTACACTGGAAGAAAAATTCTAAGCACAAGTCAGTGTATGTTGTAACTTTGCTAGAAGACATAGATTTGACAATAATTGCATCTTTATGTCTTAGTTTCAGCTGGGATGGAAACATTTTCTTCAGTGTCTGGTACAATACTATGTTTTGGTTTGAGGAGAAAAGCAACACTGATAAGGTACCGATGTTTATAGTTGCCTGTTAAGACAAGGATCTTCTCAGCAAAAGTCCCAAGGAGTTGCATAGGAACAGAATTAGGACAGCTGGCTTACATCGGGCACCACTTGTTATATACAATAATACATATATAGCCATAACTATTATTATTATAACTATTATTCTTTTCCTTTTCTCTGTCTTTGTAAATAGCTCTATCTGAACCCATGAGTTCTACTTTTCATTTCCCCCCCCCCCCCAATTCTCTCCCCTATCCCTCTGAGAAGGTGGGGATGGTAAATGACTGTGCGGTAGTCAGTCACCTGCCAGGTCAAACTACAACAGTAACATAGTCTACAATTTTCTCAGCTATCATTCCAAATTTTCCTTGAGATTTCCTGGGAATGCAACTATTACTATGTTTACCAATTACTACATTGCAGGCATATCCCAGTGAAGCAGACAGTTAACCCTGCTACACAGAGGCACACATCTAATGCAGCATGTCAGCACTATATAAGTTTGTCAGCATTACGACTTCCGGGAACGGTTCAGAGAAAATACAGCAGCTTTAGTGTTGTTCAGACTTGCTGAATTCAGGAGGGAACAAAGTAAGAGGTGGCTGTTGTGATATCATACCTGAAGATCCTTTCAGGAATACCACCACTTGAACTCAGAAAGGTTTAGTGGTTTTACCCAGGCAAATAACTCATCTCTGAATTGAGAATGTACATGTGCAGGGCAGAAAAATCCAAGCAGCTGCTCAAGTACACTCACAATCTTTGCCTCATACGGACCATATGATACTCTGCTCTGATATCTCCTTAATAGAATCCTTAGTAGGCAAGCTAGGTAAGATCATTACAGCCTCCAACCTGGCCACACAATGAAAAATTGACTACACTTGCACTCCCATAACTCCTGCAGGTCGTTCACTATGTGACTGCAGTGTGTACTGACAGAGACAGAGACAGGTCTTGCAGAGATATAAGCAGTTTCCTCTAGGCAAAGGATAGCTCTTGTTCATTTAAATGAGATGTGGCAAGAACTCCATTTGAAGCACATGCTTGAGCTTGAGAGTTTAGGGTCTTCAAAATGGGAAAGACCACCTCTGAGAATTTACAGATCATTCATCAGTGACTAGTAAATAAACTCCCAATTTCACAAAATTGTAAATGTAGTTTTATATATTTCAAGGGGTTTTTTGTCACACTACGCATTTAATATTATTTCTTAAGTTGTCACTGCATGTAATTTTTTTTGCAATTCTAAGCTCAGACCCAAAAAGAATACAGAAGACATTAAACTCCTGGTTTTGATTCTCTGTCCTGTCAACATGATTTATTAATCTCACCTTGGAGAGGTACCATATTTCTAATTATTTAGCCCTAGAGAAATCTGAATTTCTGCTGCCAAAATGTGGATAAAAGGTCTGCATTTGCAGATACAAATTTATGTCTACAGATTCAGAGAAATGTGCTTTTTGACATCGGTCATTTCCAGCTGTCTGCCTTACAAAACAATGAAAGTTACTTTTCATTTCCAATCCTTTAGTTTCTTAGCTTGCTTACACTTAAAAAGAGTAGCACACTCTGCCATTGCTAATTACTACCACCACTGAAGACAAAATCTAAATGATGTTTCATACATTTTAAACAAAAATTATTCTTTAGTACCAAATAATCAGTAAATAACTTAAACTAGCAACACAGTATTTTCACAGGCAGACTTGAGACAGTAAGGATTACTGAGAACAGTTAACTAACAAAGCGAATAGTTTTATGTTAAATTTTACAGAAGGGAAACAAAGCACATTTTTTTTCTTCAAGTAGGTGTTAATTGGTTGTGATGATAACTCTCATATGAATTATAAACAAGGGAGGCAAGCAAATATATATATATATATATATATATATATATATAAAGCAGAACAAACTATACAGTTCACAACTAAGTGCGGCAAAACAAATGACCAGAGATGTTCTCTTATTTTCCCTGCACATTAGGAAAATGTGGATACAGGGACAGTGCTTGATATCAGCTGCAGGAAAAAGACTGAAAACATAGTATAAGCATAATCTTTACCAAAAGGATTTAATTTTAAGAGCCAGAAGTTTTAGAGTGCTTTTGAAAAGAATATTCCCCATAAACTTCACAAAGTTTCAGTGTGAATTTATATATTCTGACTGACTTTCATCTACTGCCTTGGAAAGCAATATTACACATGAAAAAACTCTCTAAAGCCCCACAGATATGTGTATTTAACAGCAATATGTATGTCCACATGTCAGCAATACTGAGGTTTCATTTTGCTTACTTGGCATGAGAAACACTTGATCCATAGTTACAATGATAGCTTCTACACATTCACCCACTGCACAGTGACAGTGCAGTGAAGGAACTCACAAATCTCTGTCTGCAATGCAATTAACACACTAAATAATTTTTGATAAAAGGAAAATCAGCTTCCACTGAGTATGACCCATAGATTGTTTCCACAGCTAAGGACTTGTCAAAGAAACCCTGGAAAGTTCATTCAGCATAATGCCAGCACTGATAAGGTGTGAATCTACTAGGAATTATTAGTATTTAGTAGCTTTGGTCTACAAGGGAAATCAGATTTTTTTTACACTAATATCTCTCAATCCCTTTTCAGACACCTTTAAATAACTGATGTAGATAAAACAAGAGCCAGTTTCTTTACACTTCACTTTCATTACAATTTTAGTTGAGAATTAAATGAACTGCAAACAATTTCAAACATTGCCAGAAATTAAGTAGCTCGGTAAATATCTCATATACTGCAGGCTTGTAGATCAAAATAAGCAAAAGAGAAAGAAAAAAACAGTTCAAATGCACTTCTTCACATTATTGGAAAATAAATGGAAAAGAAACAGAAATTAATGTCAAATGCAGAGCAGATCATTGAGTGTGTAACAGTAGATTCACAATGACTATCTAGCTCCCTCTTGAGTTTCATTTTTGAAATAATACATAGAATTATTACATGGAGAACCACAGATCAATGACACCCCTGTGGTTATTAATATATCAAAACAAAGATCATTTTTACTATGTCAACCTCATTTCTCAATCAGGCAAATAAGAAAGTGGAATAGCATATAGATTAATGCTTGGAATATAAGTAAGCTGGCAGAAAAAGTATAATATCTAATTAATTACATACATTTCATGCTAGATATCATAAAATATCAACAAAAAACAGTAAGTGTAAAAATGCAGAAAAATCAGTAAGATAACCCATATCAAGAAATCCCACTTATTTCTAAATATTATAACAAACATAACATGAATTCTATTTCCTCAGAGAGTGTATTACTCTGGTCAAATCTTCCTGAAACTCCAACTGGTTTAGAACATAATAGTCCTACAATAAAGCCAGCCCTCTGTACATCATTTTCTTTTTCGAGGACGACCTGTAGTAAGTCATCATTCACGTGTCACCTCAAGTACCTGAAGACACTCTATTTTCCCAAACATACATTGATGTGCCATCTTTCCTTTAATAAATGTAAGTTACAGCTATCCATACCTGCAACAGAGAGTGCTGGTTAGTGAAACAAAAGCTAGTTTTTATCTAGCTTTTTTTTTTTATCTACTAATATACCTGCTGTATTATCAGTATGTTCTTTTTGTAAAACCTTCAAGCAACAAGTTCTTTTCATTCTTAGCTCCTACTCCCTCCTTTCTACCCACCCCTCAGATTATCAGTGCTAACTGAGTACTAGTTGTATTTTATTGTTTGGCTGGTTGATGTTATGCTTTCCAGTTTTTGTTGGTTTTTGTTACCATAGTAAGTTTCTCAGTTACTAACGTAAAAGCATCTCCCATCAGGAGACAGAAGACTATGACCACACTGATTTAGCTATTTACTGGGTGCCTTGGGAATGTAACAACAGGGTACAATCTGCAAAAATGTCATTTGGAGAATACTGAAGGAACCAGGAGTACATTGTGTGTACGTGATCATGTGACTGGATGCACAGATGGTGGCATGCTCAAGGTTCTGTGCTATCATCTTTGATGCTTCTCCATAAGATCAGAAATGCCAACGTGGAATGGGATGCAGATGACTAGGAGAGACAAGAATGTTCTGGGCAGCAATCTGTCTGGACTGATTAATAGAGCTTTAACTGTATTTGATGGGGGAAAGGGATGTACTTATGAGTAACAGGGAAGAGAGAGGGAACACTGTCACAGGAAAACCTCAGTTTTGTCCCAGAGAATTTGAAAATAATGCAGCCAATAGCACACATGAAGTGCCTCTACAGCAATGTGCACATCAAGGAAAAAGAGCAGGAGACAGAAAGCAAGACACAATTAGAAAACTACAATCTACTTGCTATCACAGAAAAAAATGGTAGGACAAATCACAGAACTGGAACACCACAGCCAAGGGCTACATGCTTTTGAGAAGAGACAGGCAGGAAGGGTTGAGGAGTTGCCCTCTATTAAGGGATAAACAAACTGCAAAGAGTTACCTCTAAAAAACAACCGTGATCAGGTTAAGTTCTTGGGGGTTAAAATTAGAGATCAGACTGAACAGAATGTCTGTTGGCAGAATGGCCGGGTCCACTACAGGCTGCCTGATCAAGAGGAGCCAATGAATGAGGCCTCCTTGCTTCAGCTACATGACGTATTGAGCTGCTCAGAGGTTCTCATCTTGATGGGGGATTTCAACCACCCAGATGTTTGCTCAGAAAGCAACATAAAACTTTAAACATTCCAAGTGACTCCTGGAGTCCTTTGAGGATAACTTCCTGACATGGGTATTAGACCAAAAGGAGGTGAAGCACTTGGTACTCACTGATGCAGAGATACTCATTAAACAGGTAGGCAGTCTGGGCTGCAGCAACCATATCCTGGTCGAGTTCACAATCTTGAGAAACACAGTCTGGGAAAAAAGCAGTTAGTACCCTAAACTTCTGGCTCTTTATGGAAATTGGATGGGATCCGCTGGGAAGCTGGGTTTATGGACAAAGCGGATCAGAGCCAGCAAAACTCTGAGGACACTTTTTCTGGGACCACAAGAGCTCTGCACCTTCAGCATAAGAAATCAAGCAGAGGCAGGAAACTGGAATGGTTCAATAAGGTCCTGCTGGTCAAACTGAGGGAAAAGAAGGGAACATACAGACAATGGAAGCAGAGATGTGTGGCCTGGGAAAAACATAGGGAGTCTGTCTGGCAGCGTAAAGATGCGCTCAGGAAAACCAAGGCACAGATGGAATTGGCCTTAGCAAAGGATGTAAAAAATAGTAAGATGGGATTCTAGATACATTGGCCAAAATAGAAAGGCCAGGGAGAATGTATTCCCTTATAAATGAGAAGCAAGAACTAGCTTCAACAGACATGGAGAAGGCCGAGGTTCACAGAAAGTTCTCTGCCTTAGTCTTCACTGGCATTCAGGCTTCCTGTGTCTCTAATGTTCCTCCTTTATACAGGGGCCGGGGGAGCTAAAGCCTTCCAAATGTAAGCAAAGAGCAAGTTTCAGGGCACCTTATGAAACGTATTACAGGGTCCTGAAAGCACTAGCTGATATTACTGCCAAGCCACTATCATATTTGAAAAGTAATGGTGAGCAGGCAAAGTCTGCCGTGATTGGAAAACAGGAAAGATTAATCCCATTTTTAAGGAAGAAACATCTGAGGAAACACAGGCAGTGAGTCTCACCTCTGCATCCAGAAAGACCATGGAGCAGATCCTGGAATCTATGTGAAGACACATGTAAGAAGAGGAGGTGATCCAAGGAAGTGATCTGCCTTGGCTTCGCCATGGGGAGACTCTTTCTGATCAATCTGGTGGCTACTATGATGGAGTGATGGCATTTATGGACAAGTGAAAGTCTCACACCACACCCTTATTTCTAAATTGGAGATATGGATTTGAAGGCTGGGCTACTCAGTGAATAAAGAATTGCTTAAATGGCTGCAGCCAGACGGTTGTGGTAAAAAGCTTTTTGTATAGGTGAAAGCCAATGATGAATGATGTCCCCCAGGTGTCCATTTTCCAACCAGTGCTCTTTAATACCTTTATCAATCACATAGACAGTGGGATCGAGTGCACCTTTCTCAAGTTTGCTGATGACATCAAGCTGAGTGGTGTAGTTCATACAATAGAATGAGGGGATGCCATGCAAAGTTTGAAAACTGGGCCCACATGAACCTAAAATGAGATTTAAGAACACCAAGTGCAAAGTGCTGCAGTTGGGTCAGGGTAACATGTGTACAGACTGGGAGAAGAATTTATTGAAAGCAGCCCTGCAAAGGACTTTTGGGTTCCACTGGATGAAAAGCTGAACATGAGCCAGCTGTGTGTGCTTGCACTTGGATCTGGGCTGCACCAACACAGCGGTGGCAGGGTAAGGGTGGTGACTGTTCTCTTCTGCTCTGCCCTTGTGAGGCCCAGTCAGGAGTAATGTATCCTGGCCTGGGGCTCCAAGAAAAAGAAAGACATACAGCTGTTGGAGCAGGTCCAGAGAAGGGCCGCAAGGATGATTACAGGACTGGAGCACGTCTAAAGAAAGGCCAGTGTAGCTGAGGTTGTTTAAGCTGGCTTACTGTTATCTGTACTGTCTCTGAGCTGTAGTAAACAGAGACACATGAAAATGCTTCAGCACTTCTGAACACAAAAATAGTGCTAATTTATTTGAGTAGATGCAGGTGTATGTATATATATACTGCCAGTCTGCACCGCATGTGCAGTGCAAAAATAAATTTTTTGAAGGTGCTTTTCCAGATAAAGATCCATTTAACTCTGATTGCTATTGCTAAGAGGATTAAACAGATTGTGAGCCAGAATGGAAATTAAAAATGTTAAATTAATCTGTGTATACTTTCTACTACAATCAGATGGCTGAATTATAATGATCTAGAGAAATAGGAACACTGAACAGCTGCAGATACTGTGGTGAGACGTATTTAAAAAGAAAATCATAGTGTTAAAAAAAATCAAGTACTGCTATAAACAGAAGTACTATTTATTTTTGCTTTATTCAAGTAGTTACACTGGCATTAATTCAGCACTGGATCTGAATGGAAAAAATGTGGATATATAGATCAAGTTACGGAAATCCATCCAAGAATTTGTGGCATAAGAAGTAACACAGTTTAAAGTTTATGCACTACTTAATTCAGAGAGGTTGAGAGCACTATATATATATTTAGTACAAAGCTGAAGAAACTTGCTTCAGCACCTTAAAGTAAAATTGGGTTACAGTATTAAACTGGAAATTATTGAAAGCACTATATATATTTCATTATACCATAACAAATGAAATGCTAGTTGAATCTGAATAATGGCCATGCAAAACATAGCATGTTAGACTGACTGACTTAGACAGTCTTTCCTGTCCTTATTATCCGATTCAACAAAAGATACTCATAAACAAGCTTTTTACCAGAAAAAACGTTCCTAAGTCACATAAAACATTAACGTGCTTCTTTCTTCAGATCATAAATATTTTAGAAGTCACACTATGCAATCAGCAGACAAGCAGCTATAAGGGCATAAGGCCACTATGGGCACTCAGTAACTCAAGTAATTCAGAATCTTTCTATGAGTAAAGATGATATAAGAATCTAGAAAAACAGTTTCTTTTCTTCTCTCCACAAGCCCTCTTGGATTTACAGTCCAGAAGAGCATTTCACACCAAAGAGGTGTTCTGAACACTTGTAAACGACTGAAAAAAAATACTCAGCTCCAAGAAAGGTTTGCAGGGAACCACGGGGCCTCTAAGGCTCACAGTAAAATAAGCAATACATATACACGCCCACATCTCAGGATATCGCAGATTTTAATCAAGTAATAAAACAATTTTCTTGACATATCAGCTTTTAAAGGTTATAATATCCTATACACATGTATATGGTGCAGCTGTAAATACAAGTATACACAGTTCAAATACATGAATAAATTTATCAGCACCAAATCAAGTTATAAAAGATCACATTAAAGCAAATCACATACCCAACACCCAATTTTATGATGACATATGCTACTTCAGGATGAGAAACAATTCTGTGGTTCACACCACAGATAACAGTAACGATAATTAGTGAAAATATTTATTAACAAATTCTAAAAAAAATCACTGATGTAGTAATAGAATGCATGTCTGGAACAGCATTTACAATAATTCTTAAGGCGTATCTGAATGAAAACTCCTAAACCACCATGGTTCTTTTGAAAAGTTGCACCCTAACAGGTCTGGCTGCTTTAAATTTGTTATGTATCTGTAAAAAATACACAGACGTGCACATAAATGTATGAACAGCATTATGTATCAAAGTTCTCATCCTCTAAAATTGCCTTGGCAAATGTTTGAACTGCATCATCTTGATTTGCAGACAAAACAAGGCCTTGCAAAGTAACAGAAGATTGCTCAGTAGCTTTCCCTTACTGTATCACAAACCTGGGAAATCACTTATTCAAAGAAAGTCCAGAAAATCACAGATGTTCAAAAAATGTATTCTGCACTGAATATATTCATAATATGAAAGTCTCCTTCATTACAAATATACAGAAACACTGAAATTACATTGCTAAACACTGAAGTTCCAAAGTACTTAGAAATCCAATTACTTTAAAAAAAAAGGAAAAAAAAGTAAACAAACTTACTTGTATCAGGTCTAAAATGCCAAGCTCACTTTCTGAAGAATCCACACAAAACACAAAATACAAGGTGGCATAGTGTCGGTAAATTAGTTTGTTATCAGATCCACCTATTAATCTAAATGGGAAAAAAAACCACAAAACTTAGTTAGCCTCTAGGGATATGCTGAGCAAGACCCCAGTTATTTCTGTTAAAAGGGTGCTTACTGTTAATGACTGGCTACAGGTTTTCAAAAGTCAAACACCCACTCTATAATATAATTACAATGAAAAAAAACAAAGCAACAAGACAGCCCAAGTTACATTTTCCACATAAACATCATTATTGTTATCCATATGGATATTAATTACTTTGATACACACAGCATCATATTATAATCAATTCAAACTGACTGTGCAGGTTCATCCAAAAATGAATTTCCATTACACACTAGCAGGCACAGTACAGACATAAATGTGCTTTATAGCTTAAGAGAACACTGCTGAAGAATCATTCCCTGCCTTTCTCAAGAGAGCAGCAGTATTAGAAGAAATCTATAATGCAGACTGGCATTTGGACTACAGAAAAACCCTTAAACTGGATTTATGGACCACATAATCATCAATGTAGTATACGATGTCTGATATTGAGAAAAATAAGACAGAACTACAGTCAATAATCTGTGACGCAATGTTAAAGTCCACAAAAATATTATTCCTTCTGCAACTCACTAATCATCAAGTTACTGAACATGAAGAAAAGATGTCAAAACATCTTATTTCCTTCCACTCTTCTGCTATAGCTTTCCTGAAGAAGATACATACATCATTAACAGATATTCTTCAGTTCATCAACATTCACTCTGAGCAACAGAAAGTATGTTAAAATAAAATTGAAGTACTTTGTAGCCTGGACCTACATGGCTACAAATCTCATAATACTCCCTTAATTTTATACCAGGTCAAAACTACCTAAGCTCTTTCAATTTCACCAAGCAAAACAAGGCCTTTGGCCAAAATGCAAACTACAAAGTGATCCCTGTCATTAAAAAAAAAATAATCCTCTGCCTAGCTTCTTTGCACTGCCCAGCTTTTTAAAAAGGCTCCAATCAGTTTTTTCATCTTACAGCTTTCAAGTCAGCACAGTTCCAGCTTAGAATCATCTAAGAGTCTAACAAAAGCATGAAAAGTTGAGCAAATGAAAGAAAAGCATTTTATTAAAATCATCAGGGATCATCCAGGCTAGGACAAAGAAATCACAGCTGACACAGTACAACTAAGTATTTAACTGTGACTCTGCATAAAGCAGCATTAACATAATAGCTTTCAGCAATTAGAAATTTTCCATCATTAGAACACTTAGACTAAGACAGTCTCTATGTTTATATCATGAGCTTTATCTGCCACTCCTAGCAGTGGCAATATAACAATTCAGTCTTGATGACTAGTATTTCAAAACACCACTTTTCCACTTAAGAATTCCTCCTCCTCAGTTAAAGTAAGACCACGTTTTAAAACAAACAAACAAACAACATGATCCAAGAAAGAATACTCTGTACATGTCTTCTCAAGACAGCAGATACAAGTATGGCTTTCCTCAAACCCTTCTCCACATGCAGTAATAAAAATTCCTGATTAAAGCTTCAATAACACATTTCAAAAACATCTGCTTCCTAGTTTATACAGGAAGCCTGAGTCCTAACAGACAGGCTGGGAAATCCTACAACTAGAGATTGTGCAGTCAGATTATAGGAGCAAAAGCCTGAGCATCAGCTTTGAAATATTTTTGAAATAGATTTGGCCAATGTCAGTGCATCTTCAAACAAAATCAGAAATCTTTAGGTGAATGACAGGGAAACTGGCTAGATAACATCTGCGTTTTTCTTCCACATCTTGCGTTTGAACCACTTGTAAGACTAGATACAGCACTGTGTCTGTTCCACTAGAAAAAAATATGCTTTATTTCCTAAACAATTTTGATACACATATATACATATACAAATAAATACATATGTATATTCCAAGTAGTAAAAAATATACCGGTATCAATCTAATACTATTACTAGTGTGCCAAATATCTCAGGCCACATGGCATTTACATTGCAACTGTAAGAACAAGTATGCTACTATCAACAGAAATATTTGCAAGTGTAGAACATTTGTTTTAAACCCGATACTTACAAGCCTCCTTCTAGAAAATTACAGACATTTTCATCACGTTTGGATACTAAGTGGAAGGTTTCTCTGATAATTTGTTGCTGTGTATCTTCACTCTATAAAAGAAAATGCATTTTGCTATCAAGCAAAATGGATTAACCAGCAATCACAGAACCCACAGGACATAAATAGAACATAAAGCATAGGAGTATCCTGTACCTATCCACTCCTGATGCCTTAAATGTGCCAAGTAACAAGCTGTACACTGTTTTTATGTCATTTCAACATCTAAAAAAAAAAAACAAAAAAGGACATTTACACAAGTTGCAGAAGAATATATTATTGTGAAAGAAATTATTGTGAAAAAATCTGCCCGTTTTTAAGAAAATTCTCCAGATACCAAACCAGTTTATTCAATAAAAAGGATGTACTCTTAAGTATTCAGGAGTTTTCCTATCTCCACTGTAAGATGAACTGATACAGACATCTTCTGAAAATCCTTCACACATTATTTGGCAAAAAGCACCAGGGAGCTAAAAAAAACAATCCCACTTAACATAAGTCTTTCAGAAATACACTGTGAATGGGTTTGTGAACAATATCTTCTCTTAAGCTGCTACCTCTCTTTCCTTTTACTGATCATCACTTCTGAATTCACTAAACCCTTCTTGAATCCCCACTGCAACTGTCCATCATTCCTCCACATTAGTTTTTGCTGTACATCTGTACAAGCAGATTCATTTCGCAGAAGAATGCCTGCTATCTTCCACTGTAGTAATCTCAGTTTCTTTTTCCATGCTTTCTATGTTACCTGGCAAGAGAGGATGGGTCTTCTTTCCTTAAGAAAGCAAGACAGCTGTTGAAATTAACTTCTGTTTCCTGCCCTTATTCTGAAAGTTGTTCAGAAACTTATTTTGAACTTTGACATGGCCACAAGTATACATTATGAAACGTACAACTACACACAAAGGGATAATCAAGACAAGGTTGCAAACAACAGGCAACTAATTCTGGAGAAGAATAATGACGTCATTTCTTACGTTTCACTTCTGATTTACATTTTCAAAACTACAAAGTCATCTGTTTATATAGTTATATAATACTACTTTATGTATTGAGAATTTGTTCTAACTCCAATTATGAAAGAAGCTGAAAGAAAGTGAAATTCACACAAGAAATCTGTTATTCTCCTGTCATGTACTCCCTTCCTCCTGCTCCTCCTTCTCCAACTTAGGAATCTGCAAATGCACAGCAGTATTAAAAGACACAAAAAGATATTTAAGATATTTACATTTCAATGGAAAACAAGAATGGAATTGACCTGCTTCTCATGAGCGACAGAGTTGTATACTTTGCCAGGGTGTTTCATTAATACTCTTTAACTATTACATCTACACTGACTGGTTGGGGTAGGGAGTGAGACTTCTTCAGTAAGTCCCTTAAGTACTGCAAGGTTACCCAGAAATACAGATATACATACAAGGTTAATGCTTATCAACATCTGAACTTTAAAATTAGGAATGGTAAATCAGAGATGGCAGCTTGGTAACCCAGAATAGTTGAGAAAGATGAAAATGGTTTATAGACATACAACAAAATTTCGGAGTACTGACTCTCTGAAGAGAGAGGATTAAATTCAGTCACCCATTGTAATGAACTGTATCAGTTACAGGCCTTGAATTACAAGCCTAGCAGTACAAATTGAAGAGCCACAGCCATCATTTTAACCCTGAGACGTGCAAAGCAAGAACCATTCCTTCTAGTAAGAGTAAATAAGGGTTTTGTAATGGCCAAAATTGCAATTAACTGGCCACAGATACAAACCGGGGTGCTGCTGACATAGAACTATTTGTGTACACAACTCCGGGGAGCATTCACTGTTTTCTTGGATTTTAACACCCAAGGTCAATTCAAGCACAGCTTAGCCTGTTCACTAAGAAAAGCTGTGATTAAATAATTATTTAAATGATTAAATCATCATTTTAAAATGATTAAAGCGTCATTTTAAAAGCTCCGATCCCTGAATTCGGTCAAGCATTGCTATGCATATTTTGCTTCCCTGTGGCTGCAGTTTCCTCTCTCTCAGACCCAGTCCATATGTTGCGTTCTCAGAGCTGCCTCACCGCGACTTCTCCCATGTAAAAAGCCAGAAGCCGCAGGTTCTGGGGCTGCGGATCCCTACAGATGTGGGAGTGCAGTCTGCCTCCGAGCGAGGCTTTCTTCCACCCTCAGGACCACCACAGGGCTACTTGCAGAACGAAGGGCAAAAAACCGGAACAGAACGGCCTGAAAGTCGCCGTTCCTCAAGGAACCCCTCCAGCGGGCAGCGGCCCTCGAGCGATCAGCGCGGCTGTGCGCCCGCAGCCCGCGAAGCGGGCCCTCCCCACACAGCGAACGCCTCCGGACGCGACCCCCTCTCCCTGCCCCCGGTGCCGCCCCGCCCATACGTAGCGCTGGTAGAACTTGGAGAGCCGCGGCTTGCCGTGGTTGTTGAAGATGAGGATGGCTTTGATCATGATGGGGCCGGCGGCGCTCCGGCGAGCCGCAGCCCTGAGCGACTGAACGGACCCGGCGGCACGTGACACGCCCCGCCCCCGTCACGTGACGGGCAAGGCGGCGTCCCGCGAGGGACAAAACGCCGCGTGGACGCAGCGGCGCCGCTCCGCGCTTCACGTCGTTTCCGCCTATGGGAGGGAGGCGGCATGGCGGAAGCGGAGGAGCAGGCGCCGGCCTCGCCGCAGAGCGAGGGCCGAAGCGGAGCCGGGGAAGAGGCTCCGGAAAGAACCCCAGAGAGCGGAGCGGCGTTGGGCGTTGGAGAGCCGGCCGCCTCCCCTGCTGGCTCGCCGGGCAGCGAGGAGCCCGCCGGTGACACCAAGAAGAAAAGTAATGGGGCGGTGGGCCGGGTATGGAGGGCGGGGGCGGGGCGGGACGGCACGGTGACGTGCGGGAGCGAGAGCCAACGCGACGAGATCGGGAGGCTGCGCCCCCTGACGGCCCGGGGTAGCCGCCATTAACGGCCGTTTTGTTCCCAGTTGACGTCCTGCTGAAGGCCGTGGGTGACACCCCCATTATGAAGACCAAGAAGTGGGCCGTGGAGCGCACCCGGACTATCCAGGGCCTGTGTGACTTCATCAAGAAATTCCTGAAGCTGATGGCATCTGAGCAGCTGGTACGGAGCCTTTGCCCTGGAGAGGCTGAGCTTGTAGCACCAGGCCTGGTGTGAGGCGGCAGTAAAGTCCCTCACAGCGCCCCCCACAGCGTGTTCCTGGGCAGGAGCAGCGCCCAGGAGTGGTGCATGCTTGGATGGACCATGTGCCATCTTGTGTGTCTGCACTGTCTCCGCTCCTAGCCTTGTGCTGCCAGATCACAGCTGTGTGTGTGTGTTCCAGGGAAAGGTTTGTGTGCACAAGTGTAGCTTAGAAGCGTGGTGTACAGAAAGAGCACTTGAGAAAAACTGAAGTCTTTGGGATTGAGTTTGTGAATCTTGATGTCTGTTCTCTTCAGAGTTTCTTTTGCAAGCAGTTTAGTGCTACTGATTACTTTTTCCGAATTGCTTGTGCAGGAATGTCTGCATTTGGGCAGCATTGCACTGCTGTACAGTGCCGTTCTTTCCTCCCTTTGGAACCCAAGTGTCCTGAGAAAGGTTGCAACAGACTCAAGAATAGGGTTATGCTGACTTCATAATTAGCAGTGTACTTCCAATATCTTTATGCTTTTCTATTTAAGTTTATATTTGAAATACAAAATTAATGTTATGCTTGTTACACAGCTCAGGAGTGATGGAAGGGAGAACTGTTCTAATCAAAAAGGGGAGACTTAGGTTAGAAATTAGGAGGAACACTTCTTCAGTTGTTTTCCTTTCTTGCAGTTTATATATGTAAACCAATCCTTTGCTCCATCTCCAGACCAGGAAGTTGGGACCCTCTATGAGGTGATTTTTGTTTTAAAATATCTTTTCCAAACATGCTGAACAGAGTTGTTAATATACTTCTGCCACTTGAAATATGTTATTGCTCCTAGTGATGCTGCTAATATCACAAATTTAGTGTAACAGAGTTGACATTCTTATATCTGTGTTAGATTTAAAAAGACACTACTTCATACAATCCTTGGAAAAGCAGTCCTTCTCATGCAGTACATCATGCCTCCAGTTACGGTGGAGAGCTTTGTTATGAATAGCTGTACTCCATGACACATTTACCTAGATGGTTTCTTTTTGCTTTGTGCTTATGCTGGTCCATGAATTATCTTATGGCTTTTGTTTTCATTTTCTTGCAGTGTTTTGGAAGTGATGGCAAGCTTGTACTACATTATTGCAAAACCCAGGCATGGGGATGAATCACAAGCAATAGAGTTGCTTAGGTGTGATCTTCAAAATGGATGGACTGACTTTCTGGAAGCCAACACACAGAAAAAAGAATTTAAGGATTTCTGCTTGACTGTACACTTAGAAAAAGTGATGCAGTTGAATAGCATGAAGGAAGTGTAACTGAGGCTGTCCAATTGCATAGCTTTTCATTAATGTTCATTTTGGGTCCAGGGGGAAAAAAAAAAAACAAACCACCACATGTGCTATCTGTAGAATAGAGCCAGCTCTTCTGCTGCTGAGCTCTCAGTTTCTGCAAATGAAGGTAAGCTTCTTCATAATTGTCTTGAGAACTGGGCAGTACTGTCTCTGTATATGCCGTATGGAACAAAAGAGTTCCTTTTTATTTAAAGCAATGTGAGTTGCACACCTCCTGGGATTCCATTTACTTTGGACATGTGCATCTATTATATGTATTCTGTACTTTTTGAAGTCTTCATCTTGAGCATGTGTTATCACAAATTTAATTTCAAGAAGACATTTTGATTTTTTTTTTCTGAAAATTGATATGCAGATATTCAACCTGTGCTGCCTTCACATTGGCAGTGTATATGTACCTTATTTAAATGACACTGCATATTGAAATGCCACAAATACTTCCTCCTGGGAAGCTGTATATTACTAAGTAGAAGGCTGAACAGTTGAGTGATCGCTAGGCTCATACTTCTGCCACTGTTTAACCACTAGCAAAAGTGGTTTGCATGATAGGAGGTGCTTAATCTACTCTGTCTGTGCCCCTTTTGGTATTCTCGTTTTTCTGCTTCCCTGGTGGCATGTTCAGTCAGCAAAACATAATTTGGTTTATATCCTAGTACTATGTATTGTAATGAGGATTTTTTTTAATTCTTGTGTGGACTTGGTACTTTGACTAGAGTGCTAAGCTTTTATTTATTGGAGGGTTAGGGTGGTGTGGTGGTTTGTGTTTGTTGTTTGTTTTTGACAGTGGAGATGAGGGTATTATTTTGTTTCTGCTTGTTCATTTTAAATTTGTCTGTAGTACTATCACTTATGCTTGTTTAAGCTGTATTAAAGTAAATGTTAGTTGTCTGCTTGCATGGTGTTACACCAGATGACAGTCTTGGTCCCTGCTATCAGCTACTTCTTGAGCATTCAATCACAACATTCTCTTCCAGTTTGAAGCATGCTCTTGGAATAGCCTGAGTTATTTGTTGCTGTCTTGTGCAATTTCTAAGTCTCCTGTAAGTGACACTGGAATCAATGTATCAAATTGTTTCCATCTTTCTACGACTTCTGAAGAACCGATGCTCAGTTCATCTACTGATCTGCTGCAATTTCTATGCAGCCAAACACTGGGGTCCCTGTAGTGTTGTACTTGTTATGAGAACTGCCACTTTTTTTTTTTTGGTAGAAAACTTAGATAACAATCTGTTGCATTCAGCAATTGTTTGCAAACTTACTCTTCAAATAATTTGTAACTTTCACTGTTCTGAACCTTGATCTCCTGGATCTCTGTTGATGTAACAGGACTAATGTAGCAGCAGATGCTAATTCCCTCCCTGCTGGTGAAGAAACAGCCTGCTGGTTACTCTAAAGACAGAATAACCTTGTATAGCCACTAGAGGGTACACAAGGACAAAGATTCTTGCATAATATTTTCTGTTGGATTTTTTCCCCGTCTTTTTCATAATATGTCCACTTCGCCCACCCTGTAAATGTTCGTTCACAGTTCATTCTCCTGTGTGGCAGTGTGTTTGCCCAAGATAAGCTGATAGTCTGTTTGTTCTGTTGGTGCCTTTCACCTCATTTGATCTTAACAAGTGGAACAGTTGATGTGGTACAAATGTGCTCTTCGGGATGATGCAAGAGTTTGCATTGTTTTTAGGTTTGTTTTTAAAAAAAGAAAATAAAACCCCACTAGGTCTTTAGGTGAAGGCAGACTATAGTTTGTCATATTTTTACAGCTAATGAGAAAGGGTTATCTATCCTTCATGTTGAATCTATAGGTAAATTTTATCCCCTAGTTTATTTATGCATACTATCCCTACCCCTGGAGTCACAATAGTCCATTAAGGTAAAACCCACATAAAAAGATTTTCTGTGCTCAAGTTTATTGAACCTCCATATTTTAAACAAGTGAAATAGTTAAAATAGTAAATTATTTGCAGAATTCTATTGATCGCTCACTTGCAGTAGGTTATGAGGCATAATGTTAGCCTAAAACAACCCTTTGCTGTGGATTTGGAGTGTATTCAGCAGTATATGCACAGATACATATCTGAATCAGAAACCAAGGATTGTTCAAGATGTGTGGAGAAACCCATGAAAATGCAGATCACAGAGGACTCTCCCTATCTGCAGCTGGACCTAAGGGTACCTAATTGTTCCTGATATGTATTTGATTAGAAAAGCATGAATATTCTCACAAACTATATGTACACTATCTTCTAGTAACTAATACTACAGTACTACTTAGAGTGTTTTTTTTTTTCCAACTGCCTTGCTGCTGTATCTCCCTACGTATGAGCTCTCATTTGAAAGCATTGCCTCCCATTTCATTATGTTAGCCACAATGTCACAAGCAGGATGTTTGTGTTATAGCAGCAGAGGTTAGTTGAGCCTTTCCACCAATATTCCTGTGCACTTTGTAGCTGTGCAACAGATGGCAGCAGAGGGGCAGCCTGACAGAATGGTGTCTGACATGGAAGTGCAGTTGAAGTGAAGGTGTGGCGTATACTTCCTCCGTGTGGGAAAGATAGTACCCACTGGCATTCACTGATGCTTGCTGAATGCGTATGGACAAAGAGAGGATGTGAGTGCAGTGAGGCAGTGGATGTGTGGTGACAGCAATGTGAGCAACAAGCCATGTGCTGGATGGCCATGCAGATTTTTACAAGAGCAGCATGCAGGCTCCTACTCATCACTGGCAAAAATGATGGTGACTGTATGGAAAAATGGTGTTTTGTAGCTGAGTATTTTCTCTATCAAATGGTGTTGTTGTGCTCTTTCTATCTGTTGTACCTTCAGTGAAAATAACAGCCATTAGTTTAAGCTTTTCATTACTTTCAACCTACATAAATCTTACCTTTTTTTACTTTAAAAGCATTTCCCCTTGTTCTGTCATTATCAGACCATGCAAAAAGTTGATCTCTCTCCTGATTTATAGGTTTCTTCTAAGAACTGGAAGGCCCCAGGGCCTTTTCTTCTGGCTGAACAAGACCAGCTCCCTCAGCCTTTCCTACTCCCTCAGCCTTTCTTCATAGGGGAGGTGCTCCAGCCCTCTGATCG